TCCCGTGAACTCCTGACGAAGTTTGAGACGAATCTCAAAATAAATCAAATCGACTAATTTTCACCTAATTCGATCAATAAATCTCAATATTCTATGCGGCTGTATCTAGCATTTATTGCACGCTTTAATCTTTTTGCCGAATATATATTTCTATATTTTATTAAATTTCTACATTTCATAATCATCGTTATATGTATGATACAACAGTCTGTCATTGCGATGCTAATGAAATTTCAAACAACTTCGCGATCGATGCATTTCAGGCTCTGTAAGAGCCAGCAGCATCTTTCGGACTCGTACGAGCGATTCAACGAGGCGAGACCGTATCATTCGAGATCTGCCTGCGGTCTTCATTCGATTCCTTCGGGGCTGCCATCGTTTCCGGATCCTCTGCACTATACTCGAGGCAGCCGGGCCGATCCTGATCGATTGAACATCCTCGACTGGCCCGAATCGCCGAGACGTTATCGCAGCGTACAGTCACTGGACACCGTTAGCGGTTTAGTGGACATTGTCGAAGACGGCTGGCCAATCGAGGGGAATCGCAGTATCGATTGCATCTACACTCAGGTAAAATCTTTGCATTCCTACTGTTATATACTTTCCTACGTGCTTCGAGCAGAGATTATACCATCGTCGAAAAGATATTTCACGAGAGAAACAAAATTTACACAGGGAAGCCAGTTCAATTAACAGAGAAGCGAATTAAATTGAACTGTGCCAGGAAATTTCATATTGGTTGGTTCGTTCGGTTTTATTTTTTTCCGTGGGATGGCACTAATTTTCTTTCTCCATGTCTTAATCTTATTAAAAATTCAAACCGACTATATTGTGTCAGCTATCATATCAGCGAGCATTGAAGATGGTTACAGAGCAAAACGATGAATATATTGTTCAATGAAGTTAGTAGACTATTTTCGCAAAGAACACTCTTAACACTAAGAGCTACTCCGGCGACTGAAGCATCCACTAAAATTTCCATCAGAGACGTTAAAGTAAGAAAAACAAAAGAACAGAAAATCTTTATAATACAATAGGATATTTTACGAAGAATCATTCAAAAATTTCCAAAATATTCAACAAAATATCTAACAAAAGTATTTAAATGCTGATCACTTTGAAACCGAAATTCTTAGCACAAGCTTCAAGCTATCCATTTACTTTCATATCAACGCCGTATCGATCCGTTTGCCATTTATTCGATTATTAACCGATACTATGCATCCGAAATTTCTCGTCTCGGCTGCATTTGACGGCACCTGTAGGACTCGTAGAGTGTGTCGATAAATTCGGCCCTTATCTCGAGTAGTGTTTGCGTGCTTATCTGGAGACCGGGATGGAATATCGATACGACGTCCTAGAGAAAAGTAGTCGGCATCGTGTCTCTCGATCGCAAGGATCTACTATATATAATGTTGAAATGTTCGACAGGCAGACGTGACATATGTGAAATGTCCGAGATGCTTCTGTTTAATAGATCGTTGAGTATTTCCGTGGATAAACAGAGTAGAAAGATCAATATTATGTGAACATGCAGACTTATGCATGCGAGCATGTTGCTGCTATATGCGCAATGTCGTGTTATTGCCAGGCAGAAACCTGTTTGTCGTTCATTAGTCCAACTTCGTTCAAAGTTCACTGGATTGTAACTTGCTGTAATATTACAACTGGCTTTTCAGGGATGCCGACAGACGATTTGGACCCCCGTTGCGTTAATTAAGTAAGCTCGCAGAGGTACACTTGCTTGCTTACGTTTGTCTTAATGATAATTACGTGAGTCTATATATAATAATTGTTAAATAAAAAGTTCATGATGAACGTGCCAATCGACATACACGTAGTATGTACGAGACGATGCTTCGCTCTGTTCCAAATTTAAATCGCAAATTTTCGCGGGGGTTCAATCTATTTTCAGCCTGCTTCTCTCTGTACATACAATTATTACGTAGTTCGCGTAGTATTTATCTTACGTACTTTCATTTCAGTTTGTAAGCTACTTGTAATATAAACCATTAAAAAAAAAAAAAATCCCAGATCCCTGAAATCCGGAGAATCTCAGATATTGATTTCATTAGTTCGAGTAATCAGACTCGGCGCAATTATATAAAATAAATATAAACTGAACATAATATAAATAGATATGGAATAAAGATCGTTTCTCTAGAAATCGTATGAAAGAACTTTTCGCGATTCGACTTGTTCAGGTGAAACGGAAACGAAAGGAGCACAGGAGCCTGGACAGTATACTGTTCGAGGACGACGGCGAGTTAGAGTACTTCGACGTTCTGAATCTGTTGCCTCTGTCGAACGTGCGTTTGGAGTTCGACGAGGAGGACGCGCGTGACAACAATCTGCGACGGAGGAACGACTCGGTCGTAAAGTCTCTCGAGTGTCTCGAGTCGCGAGTCGTGCAGGAGAGATCGTCCACGAGGAGCAACGCCACGGACGAGGAGAAATGTAAAGAGACGAACGCCAAGGAGGAGGATATCGAGCAACCCGACTGTCAGAGAGAATCCGACTCCTCGAGTCGATCCAGAGATAATTCATCAGCGGAGAACTCGTCGCGTCAGAAGGACGACAGAGACACGGTGATTTGTCGTGGGAACGAGCCGACAGACTCGAACAGACCCGCGTGCTTGAACGTTAACGAGGACAGGTACGGACTCGATGACGAGATAGTGGCCTCGGATAGGGAACAGATCGATCGAAAGGTCGAGGAGGCGGAGGATTATAAATCCATTTGGATCTCGGATACCGAAGAGCAGGAGGAGATGTCGCGGAGGCCGCAGGTGCTCAAAATCGTCGACAGCGACGTGACAAAAAAACGGCACCGAAGTCTCACTGTCGAGCTCGGTTCCATCAAGAGAGACGAGCCGAGGAGCGAGATGCTGCAGAGTGACGGACAGAAATCAGGCAACTGTGTCGACGCGGTCAAGTGGAGTAAGAAGATTGATGAAGTTGATGGGGCCTTGAAGAATGTAGAGGTGAGTGTTTACAATGTTTGAGCGCAAAGTACTTTCAGGTATTATCTATTATATACACATGTAATACAGGTATATGAAAGGTATATATATATAGTAAGTTTGGGTACATTTTTATTTCATACTTGATTCAACACTAGAACTACAGACAGTTAAGACAAAGCTATTCAAAATGACTGGTCTTTAAAAAAAAAAAAAAAAATAGAATATTTTTATATTTACTGATTTACTGAATAAATCTGCATCTGGCTTTAGATGGAAAGAGTTGTTTGTCAATTGTAATATTTGCACTTAGTTTGTAGCAACTCTGACTTATCCCATAAAGCTGATATCAAAGCAAATTTATCACTTTGTTGATTTCGTTGATTTCGTTACTTCTTTCATCAAGTGAACAAATCTGAATAGATCAAATGATTTCGGTAAAATCATTTCATGATGTTGGAAAAGAAGTTTGGTCCCTATTTTCTGTTACATAAATATGAAAGTTTCAAATATTTTGTTTCGTTGCTCCCGGTGCATACAAAATTCCAAATTTTTTACCCAAAACTCGAGAAGCTTTTAATTATACGTTCAAGCATATGGTCGACAATTGGTAAAGAAAATGTGCAATTTTCCTGATAATTATCACCATCACATTGAACGATAGCAGTATAAATTCTAAAAACGTGTAAAGTTGTACAAAACTGATTAATTTCGGGTTCGGTAAACAGATTGTAGAATCCTTTTACACTTTGACAAGTATCATTTTGACTGGTATTGGTAGTAAGTAGCCATGATACAAAATTATTTTGATTTCTAATAAATAAAAATAAAATAAAATTCATTATATTATTTCTTTAGTTATCACTGCAAAAGTCATTACATCATTGCGGGGGGAAAAAACGTAACATGAAATAGAAACTTTAAAATAAAATTGTAAAACCAGTCATTTTGACTGGTGTAGCAGTTTTAGTGTTAATGCTAGAGCTACCAGGGACTTGAAGCATAGAATTTTCATCAGTGATATTAAAGTGAAAAAAAAAAAAAAAGAAAATTTGTGCAACATACAAGCTTCTATTTATTTATTTTATAAAAAATCTGTAAATATACACTGTTTTACATCTATAATATATCTAACGAATGAATTAATCATTTTAACTAGCTCGGTAGTTCCGCTGTTAATTCAATTGTATTCAGTTGTATATTAATTTCATTAACACATTTTTTAGTTATTATTATACGACATCTTCACTTCCCAAACCTAACCTAAACCTAA